TTGTAATAGAATAGATATAATGGGAAGTTTTAAAGATTGAAGAAGATCTAGGACGTTAAGTGAGCTATTTAATTTATGAATTTCCAGTTGGATCAAGCGTTAATCTATCCTTACCAATATGATAGGTTTTGATATCTGCAAAAGCCCACCAAGAAGCAGAAAGAAAGGAGAACGGTAAGGTTTGATTTGGAGGGATGCGGACCAGGTAGTAGTTCTTTCCTACCTTACACTTGTGTATGATTGCTGCATGTCTGTTTGTGCCATATTACTTTTCTAAAGCATGAGAACATGTAATCCTTAATTCCTTGCATGGATTTTTAGCCGTGACCACGTGCAGCTGATAAACATGGGGCAGTGATTGCCAATTATTTGCGCGGCAGTGATTGCCAATTATATGCGCGGCAGTGATTGCCAATTATTTGCGCGGCAGTGATTGCCAATTATATGCGCGGCAGTGATTGCCAATTATTTGCGCGGCAGTGATTGCCAATTATATGCACGGCAGTGATTGCCAATTATATGCGCGGCAGTGATTGCCAATTATTTGCGCGGCAGTGATTGCCAATTATATGCGCGGCAGTGATTGCCAATTATTAGCGCATTATTTATTCAGCTTGTCTAATAGACATGGGGCAGTGATTGCCAGGTATTTGCACATTATTTATTCAGCTTTTCTATCTGTCATTGCGCATAAATGCTTAATTGCATTAGCTTGCAAGGTTATGTTCCACTTTGGCTTGTTTTGCATGCTTTATGTGATCTGCACATTTGTTTGATGGAAATTACTACTACGGGGATTCGTTCGAATCTCACCCTCCAATTTATGATGAACAGTGAAAGCTAGTAGCCCGAAGGACAAGGAGGTTGTTTAAGAAGAAGGTGGGCTGGTTGAAGAGCAGAGATACCTGTTATAATTCTGTAAATTGTATAGTATGAAATTATTTTAGGTGATAATAGATTAAGTTGAAAGCAGGGTTGATATTAGATCATTCATTAGTTATCTGAAGGTTTGAAATATTTGATCAACGGATTCCAATGTTAAAGGGGAAAAAAAAAAATTTCCTGTCTTTTCCCAGGATGGAAACCTGGTGTTAGTGATTCACAGGCGTTAAAATGATCCTATTAGTATATAAAAGTGAGGTGTTGCAATCTGATCATTACCTCATCAATGAAATCCCCCCCCCCCAAAATATATGCTTCAAGAGAGATGGCAGGAGAAAAAATTATTAAACTTGGGAGACAGACTAATGTACGTATATATTTATACACACACTGTATACACGTGCGAGGAAAAAGCAACAGGGCCGCTTGCATGGGTTGATAATATTCACACACGCTGAGGATTAACCTAGCGATTTGGATGTGAAATTGAAGTGAGTTCGTTGCAAAATTATAAAAAGATTCATAATGGAAGATGACATATAAGCATCAATAAAACAGTGTAATTATCACGTACGTGTGCCCTTGCATTCAATATATGTTTGCCCTTGTATGTGGCCGATTCCTCAGGGATAGCGTATTAAAATAAACGTGTGTAATTAAAGATGAAAAGATTTTATTACTCCTAGCTTTATTTTTACGACATACTACGTCTTGTTCTTAATATAAGAGTTAGTTTGACTTTTAATTTAGTTTTAAATATAAGACACCAATCGACTTTGTTTTTTATATTTATTTATTTTTTCAGGGTAGTCCTTATAGTAGTTACACATACTAAATATTTCATTAAATGACATTTGATTAGTAGGGGTATTTTAGGAAAGGTAACACCAATTTATTACAAATAACTAACATAACTAATTTTCTTAATCTACTCAAATTAGTCAACTAGTTCTTATACTACTTCCGGTCCTTAATATAAAACCTTCTTTGAATTTTATTTTGGTCATAAATATAAAACCCCAATCCACTTTATCTCTTATATTTATGTATTTTTTTTTAAGGTAATCCTTCTAATAATGTTATTTCTAGCCAATACACTTGATTAGTATGAGTATTTTAAGAAAGACAACACATGTTTATTACAAATAACTTACTGAACGTATTTCCTTAATTTCTTCGAATTAATCAACTAGCTCTTATATTTAGGACCAGAGGTAGTACTTTTCTATTAAAATGAAAGTATGCATGAACTAATACAAATATAATGATTTAACTTAAGAAGTTTAGAAAGATCTACAATGGTCAAGTTTCTTTTAATCATGCAGTCATACGTGTAAACCAGAAAAAAACAGTTACACAAAAGGATTAAAACTATATATAAGATTTACTTATGCTCTTTATGTATACACATATGCACACAGCTTATTTTAGCAATCTCTTTTGGTCTATATTATAAGAAGGAATACCAGCAGGCATTGGTCCTAGTGAAGGAATTTTAGCAGCTTAAGAACGACGTCTCAAATTCAAGTTTGCATAAATAAATAAAACGCCTTTGACAGAGCTGCCTCAATTGGAACCGATAATACTTAAATCTGCCCTTGGGAATGCTTTCTTGCTACTTTACGAACTATATATTTTCTGCAACATTTGAGGCTCTTAGAATTTAAGTGGGTTTCATTTATATTCCTCAAATCTTCCATAGTTGTAATCAGATAAACCTTACCTCGTTAATTTATACCTCTTCTCTCCCATTTTCCCACGATTTACTATTCCGCACACAATTCACATCATTTCATTCTGTGCCCTGGGAGTGTGTGCTTGTCTTTTCTATTGTCTGTCCATCGATCTGAGCGCTTTTCTCTCTTGCAGTTAAAACAAAGGGGGGCTTTGATTCCTTATTATTACCATATGGATCGCCTCCCGTCTCTTGAGGATTCTCCGTGCCTACCCAAAATAAATAAGCCCTGGTGAAACATCAGAGAAATTGACCGAATTGGTATGTCAGCAGAATCTTACTCTACACACACACACACAATCTTTAAAGTTAACTTGCCTTTAATTTGTTGCTTTGGGGTTACTCTAAAAATTAACTGAATTAATGCAATATAGTGCAAAACTCGGGTCATTTCACTTTGAGGAGCCGAAAACGAAATTAAACCCTAGTAAATAAATGCAAGTAACCTAAACTATAAAAAGGATTTTGATTTTGAGGAATTGCTAACTAAATGCCTTGAATTAAACTGAAATTAAAATACATTTTTTTGTTTTTTTTATATAAAAAATGATTGAAATAAATGAAGATGAAAGAAATGAAAATGAGACACACAAGTAACAATGATAATAATCAATCCTCCAATTCAACAACGCAGGCAATCCTCACTCCAAAAGATACGGGAGTTAAAACAATGAATTAAGAATTATAATCAAGCTTTTAATCCAACAACCGAGCCACCTCGAATTGCCACAAAATATTTTCCCAAAATCCTAATTTACTAACTGCAACCAGAATAGTAAAATAGAATTAAGAATGCTAAAAACCAATGCTTAATTAAAATTCTTAAATCCAAAATAATAGAATTAAAGCTAGCAAGAAACAATATAATCCAAGATTCCAAGCCACCTCAGAAAATCACAATATATTAACTCCAAAATCAATACAAATGTCATAACCACAACATCATAATTGAAATCAAAGCTATAAACAACCCAATGTCAAATGCTAAACAATAATTCAGTCACAATAATCTCCAAATATAATCAAATTAAGCAATACAATTATCCCAACAATCAGAAAAACTATCCTAAGACCTAGGAATTGTTAAACAATTATTGAGTAAGAAATTAAAGCAATTAAAACTCCCCTTTGAAGATCCAAGCTCCTGCTATTGTTATTGAATTGGAGAATTAGAGGATCTTAGCCACGGTTTGCCATGAGAAATGCCATATTCAGAATTTTGCTACAGGATCCCATGGAAGAACACTGTTCACGCTGAATCTGTCGTGCTCGTGCTGTTCGTTATGCTGGTTCTGTCGTGTGTGCGTGTTTCGTGTGCGCCTCCTCTTCTGCCAAATGAAGATTATTATTCAAATACTGCTAGCCGCCCCTGTTTTCCTCACGTCTCCTCTGCTCGTTCGTGGGTCTTGTGTTCGTTGCCGCCGCCCAGCTCCAGCTTCTTGTGTTTGAAGAAGAATTATAGTATATTAGGTTGGGGGAGCAAAACGCTTTTTTTTTTTAAATTATTTTTTATCTTTTTTTTTCTTTTCTTTTTTTTTAATTTTTCAAAATCTTCTAAAAACCTGCAAGCAAAAATTCAAAGATAAGGTAGCATTAATTGTCCTAAAAAAAATCAATTAGTCACAATTAAACCAAAATATGACAATTTTGCCCCTATAAAATAATAATTCAAAATAAAATATATTAAATAATTAACAATCAATTAAGGCAAAAGGGGACCAATTAAGTTGACAAAACCCATATAAAAAATATCAAAATATATAAAAATAATTGAGTTTGTCAATCCTCAACTGGCATACTTCTTTCTCTCAACTGAGCAATGTCCATCAGTTCAAAAAAATGGGCAATGTTCCCACATATATGCTAGGTCGACAATCATATTACACAACACTGATATAGAGACGCCATAAAGGATTCTACCAAACTTCTTAACTCCCCCGAGTTCCTCATCTTTCATTCTCAAGGGCTTCTATAAGCGAGATGCTACGGCCGGTTCATGGTAATATGTTTACACATCATTCATATTTCATAAAGCTATACTTTAAAATAAAGACACATCATTTAATCAGAAAGCTAAGCCTATAGCTGACAAAGCTTTGATTCAGGTAACTCACTTGGTTCACCCAACTAATTAACCCCTCCGCTTAAAACGACAGATTAATTGTCATTTACAATAATAGTAATGATTTATATGGCCAAAAGGGTAAGTAAACTAAAGAGATTATTTCAGAAGAAATTCTGCATAAAAGATGCATGGTATGACATCATGATCGATACTAATACTTTTGTGCCCTTAGTGATTACTAATTCCGAGCGAGTCTAGTTTAATCAACAATACAGCTCCATCATTATGCGTCACATGACACAGGGAAATTGCAGGTGATCAGGGAAAATCATTCCCCAAGTTGAGTATGGTTTCCCAATAATGCTTCTCCTCAAAGTTGGTGCTTCCTTCTTCTCCGACGTTTAAGACTCCCAGGTTTTGTTGTGGTGAGATCTCATTGAATCCATACACCAACACACCGTCATTGTGCAGGTCTACCATGGAATCATCACAGTTATAACCTTTTGATCTGAATCCTTCCACGGCCACCATAATGTCGTCGTCTCTCATCAAGCTTCCCGCTGAGTTTTCCCAATATGACGCACCATCACTCGCTTCTTTCATGATTATTCCACTGTCCCCACCGGCGTTGGAAGACGGAAGTAATAAGCTTTGATTGATAAGTCCAAAGTTGGTTATATTACTAGTGTTGGAGTTGAGGAAAATTGTGTCTGCGAAGCTTAAAGTCGACGTCGGCGGCTTTAGGTCGGCCTCGGTGGCGAGCATCATGGCATACATGCTGTGCGTTTTGGGGATGTTATCAGCAGTAGTTGTCGGAGTTGAAGATTGCGACGTCGGCGACCATGAATTCTGCCATGCCTTTAGGACGTCGAGGCAGGGAGTTGGTGACGGCAGAGGTGTGATCTTGTTGAGCAAGAGTCGAGTGGGCCAAGGTTGGGAAGAGAAGGAGCCGATAAGCCGGTTGATCTGGAGCCGAAGCTTGGATTCGCTGACCAGTCTGGATTCGGCTTGGAGCCGGGCAGTCTCCCACTGAGCCATATGGTTGAGGTTGGCTGCGTCCATGGACTGGCCGTGTAAGGCGTCGTTTATGGGTTTGTGAGTGGCGGGGTCTATTCCCATTCTGGTGAGCCTCTTCTTGAGGTGGGTGTTCCAGTGGTTCTTGATCTCATTGTCTGTTCTTTTTGGCAAATGAAGTGCTATAGCCGACCATCTTGTACGTGCAATATAAACATCAAAAAACGATTCAGGAATAATATTTATCAAAAGTTGTGTGTGTCTTTCGCTAAACACATCATGTCATGTTTACTTTCTAAGGGAACTCAGCTGGATCGAATTGAATCATTGTGGTTGACCAGCTGAGCAATCATCAACCCAAACACATGAATTTGTTAACAAGAGTTTTGAGACATACCTGTTTCCCAGAAGAGCATGAAGTTGAATAATGGTTTGGTCTTCTTGCGAGCTGAAGTTGCCTCGTTTGATGTCAGGTCTTAGGTAATTAGTCCATCTCAGTCTGCAGCTCTTCCCACATCTTCGGAGTCCTTTTTTGGTCGTCGAAAACATGAAACACACATAATTCATTCCTCTTTCCTAAATTATACATACATGCGTGTCTGCGGATGAAACAAGATATCATAATATAGTGTGGAGCTATATGAAGTGGCGGGATTATACGTACCAGCTTTTGCAGGCAAGAAAGACCAATTTCCATGGCCATGTTGTTGAATGTAAGCCATGAGCTTCTGGTCTTCCTCAGGAGTCCATGGCCCTTTCTTTAAGGTTGCCTTCTCGCAGCGCGACGACTTCACCATTTTAATTTCCACCTGGGAAATGCTTGCTGGGGAGAGACAGCGAGAGAAGTAGAGAATTATATAAACACCAGAGACGGAGCAAGCTAATAAGAAACAGATCGATCAGGTAAGTTGAAAGGAAGCAACTGGCAGCGAAAATTGAGGTTACATAAACATAGATCGTATATATCAATGTGGTCTCTGAAAAATGCTGAAGAGAAGGACAGAGGGAGGAAAAAGTTGGATTGACAGAAAACAGAAGACAAGAAGAGACAAGAGATGGAGCTATAAAGCAAGTTGAAAAGATGCAGAAGAAAGATCCAAGTTATAAATAGCAGATCTTCTATATATATATATATATGTATATATGACGTAATAAATGATGTTTATAATAATCATATTAGACAGAAGAAAAAGAATCCATCTGACTGATGATTCACCATACTCATATTTAAAAGACAACGTTATTGTACATCTACATTTCTTAGTAAGGTTTCATATCCTATAATTTTGGCATACATATGTGTTATCCAGCAGTTCATGGTTTTGTCTCTTTTGTATTGTCTAGGGCATCCCTATGATAACCTTACTCAGAAGATCTAGTACCCTTGTAACTTTCTGAATTTTAAATTGAACTTTTAAAAACTTGCATGTGGTCGATCTAATCAAAGAAGCACTCGCCTCAGTACTGCCAAATAAATAATCATAAGAAACAAATGTACGTGGGTGACAATATCAAGAAAGTCGAGATATATACTTGTTCAGCATCTTATAGATTGGAAAGAATCATGCAAAAAAGGAAAATTAAGGAACAAAGTAAAAGATTAATCTGTCCCAGTGATATGAATATTTAATATACACATATATATATGATATACTAATTTCCCTTATAAGTTTTCTATTTGCGCACACACACACACACACTATATATATATATATATATCATCTTTTGTAAAGCTTCACTATGTATTATCGTTTGAATTTATTTTAGGATACGATATCAACAATTTAAAGAGATATAGCATGATGATCACTTGAATAATTTATTATTGGTAGAGATAAGTAGCTTTATAAGCTTAACTGCGTTATTAATTACTACATATATACGATAAATGTACTAGCTCTGCATATAGCTCTTTATGTTTCCTCTGTGTGTGTGTGTGTGTTCTTATTATTTTGAACTAAAATATATATATATATATATATATATATACACACTTCTAAAGCCTGGCTTGTAGATATATACAATGAATATAAAAGCCCGTACAAAATTGGCAAATCAGAATTAATTGTATTGATAACAAGCATGTGATTCCAATCAAACATATTTACGTCTCTGTGTTTACTTTTCTCATCAAATTTACAGAGCTTCAGTTTAATGCTTGAGTAAGTGCTTGCCATATAAAACAAGCCTGAAGTTTTTCTCTTTCACTTACGTATGCATGTACTGTCTCATAAACTTCAAACTTTTCTTCCCGTAGGAGCCAACATTGTTAAGAGGACTAGGGGAAAAAATAATGTTCACTAAAACAACGACAACAACACGCACACAAAGGAATCGAATTTTAGTTATCCTTTTTCCTCCAAGTGACTCCCACGCACTAGAATTCTACCAATATTTCACTACTGCTCTTATATAATAAGTTCATATTCCCCCAGGGGACGGTGTATTTCCTACGTCTTTTTTTTAACTTTTAGCTAATTTTAATAATTTTCTTAAACCGCACAATTTCATTGTGTGGATTTTATAATAAGGGATGGAAGGAGTATTAAATGAGGGTAAAGTTAAAAAATTATTAGGTTTTAAGATAAAATCAGTGAGATTTACGGTTTTTCTTTATTTTCAATAAAATATGCTAAAAATGATTTATAAATAGAAATGGAGGGGTATTTACCAACCATGAAAACCCTGGAGGTGAAGAAACAAAAAAGTCTAAGTGAATTGATGGGAAAAATATATTAAAGTATACATTTGCCGCTTTCTTTTAATTGAGTTACGCACACACTACGTTGGCAGATAAAGAATTCTTTTAAAACAATTTTGCTGGTCATTCCATTCTACTGGACCCAATTCCATTGGTTAGCTTATAATGTATTGGTCATCCTCCAATGATACTTGGTCCCCACAAATACAGTAGAAACACCGAACATCTGCATCCAAGAAGCGGCCCGTTGCGTCCGTCTTCTGAGGAGATGTTTGAATAAAAACCAAACTATAATTTTAAAAGTGTTTTTATAATATACGAAGTAAATATGTGAAGGAGATTGTCTCGTTTTATGAAAAAGTACTTTTTAAAAGCACTTATTAATATTGCCAAACACCCCCTGAATCTATTTTTGATTTCCGTTATCTGACTTTCTGTTGGAGTCCATCATAGGCTTCACTAGGATTTTTTTCCCCCCAAACACAAGTATCATTTTTATTAGAGACAGTCATGTTTAAAATATTATCAAATACTAAATATAGGCACATTTTTTCATGAGGATTCTAATCTTGATTTACCATGTTATGAAAAACTGGCCATTTTCACTAAACTTAACTCTCGTTAGTTCATTGAGATAGTTGGATGCATTAAACATGGCTATACTTCCAGATCTTTTTTTTTTTTTTTTTGCCATCTAGACTTACAGATCTTGGACGCAGTGCTCGGACCTGATTATAAACTTGTAAGGCCGAGAGGGGGGGTTTGTGGAATTGATGCCCAGATGACTATTATATCCCCATTAATAATTTCATTGGTGGGCTTCACAAACTGACCTAACAAAGTTGGGCCTGAACAAACTTTGACAAAACTGAGCCCACTGACAGAGAAACACAATTCGGCCCTAAGAACTCAAAAAATATACTCGAAAGTAACACCCACAACTCCAAAACAAGTAAAATTGTTAACCAAGTAATTACGAGTCTGTTTGTTTTTGTTCTTTGTTTTTTTATTTTCAAAACAATTTTATAAAATTATTTCTTAAAACAATTTTTGAAAACAAAAAACAAAAAGATTTGTTTGAATAATAATTTTAAAAATCATGTTTGAAAAAGAAATCATAAAAAATTACACTTGGTAGGTGGTAGTTATCGCTAGTAATGATAAGCGGTAGATAGTAGGTAAGAAGAGAAGAAGATTTCTCAAAATTTTTCAAAATAAAAAATAAAAAACACAAAAACAAAAACAAGAAAATATGTGAAAGTTGTTTTGACTTTTTAGTTTTTAAAAACATGGTATTGTTTTTTGTTTTTTAAAACAAGTAACTAAAAACAAATTACCAAACAAGTTTTTTTGTTTTTATGTTTTTAAAAACAAAAAATTGTTTTCAAAACAAGAAACCAAACAGACCCTAAAACTTGAAGAGAACTTGCCCTTAAGTCCCTGGCTATATGAATTAGAATTTTAAGAGAACTTCTTTTTAGATTCCTAACTATATGCATTAGTCATTAAAAAAAAAACAAGTTACACAAAAAATTGATCATACTTTTATAATGTAAACATATTCCATCAAGAATACATAAACAACACATAAATGCTTGTCAAAAAATTTCTCATTCGTAACTTCCAAAATAATTTAATACAATTTAATATTTGAATAAAGAAAATTCCTAATCCACTGTAAAAATGTGCTCAAGTTTAATACCCAATAATGTCTTAAGTAGGATTACTTCTAATAAAAGAATACATGTGTCCAGTAAAAAAAATATGTAATACTTTTTAAAATAATATCAAATATTTTATAGAAAGGATTAAAATTTAAAATATTTTATAAAACATGCTCTATGTATGAAATTAGAGCGATGGGTTTGAACCTAACACCACGATGGACGACGACAAATATAATGAAAGAAGACACATGGGGCCATAAAATATCACATCAACCTTCTTCGAAAGAATTAATGGGCAAGCAATAACTGCGTAAGGCTACTGTTCTTTTCCCTTCTCACCCTCAAAGCCATGAGCTAAGTAGAATCTGGAAAGCTCTATGTTACTAGACTAACAGTCTAATAATTTTATAAATGGAATCAAATTCAAAAAAACATTCTAATATAGGATTACCAAGCGGAATCAGACGAGAGAGAGGTGAAAGAAAAAATGAGAGGAAGAAAAAGTGAAGAAGAAAATGAAACGGACTGCTTCTTCCTCTTCACCTCAGGCGCCTATTAATAATCACACCAATATTCCTTCAGATCTCTTGCTCTAGCAACTCTCGTCTCTCTCCTACTCCTTCCTCTTTGCCGTGACTTCTCACAAATACATGAGCTTGGATTCCTTCAATACACCAAATCTGGGTTTCCATGCGTCTCGTGAAATAACCAAATCCATGAGCTCCACGTATGAGTCTGAACTTGACCTCCCAATACCTAAGTTATCACAGACTGCGACATTGGAGGAGGATCCATTTGAGGATGAAGATGCATAATACTACCTCGGTCCTAATTATAAGACCCAGTTAATTTATTTGAGGAGATTAAAGAAGTAAGTTAAGTTAGTTATTTGTAATAAATAAGTGTTGTCATTCCTAAAATATCCTTGCTAATTAAGTGTATTGGCTAGAACTATTATTATTAGAAAGACTATCTTGAAAAAAAATATATAAATATAAGAGAAATAATATATTAGGGTCTTATAACTAGGACTAAATAAAAAGTTAAATAGGGTTTTATATTAAGGGTGTGTTTGGATAGAAACCAAACCATGGTTTCAGAAGTGCTTTTACGGATTACGAAGTAAATATGTGGAGGAGATTATCTCGTTTTGCGGAAAAGTGCTTCTGAAACCACGGTTTGGGGATACCCAAACAGGCCCTAAATATAGGATGTAGTAACATCTTTTATTTGTTACAATGCTTTAGTTAGATGGTTGATTGGGGGAAGTGTTAAGCTGCTCATTGCATGGTTTGTTATTCTTGTCTTGTATTTGTGTTTTTTGTTGCTTTTATTTGGCAGGTTACGTTTTGCTGTTCCTGGTTGGCTGCTTCAAATTCTCACTGCTCTTCTTCAAGCCTGTGGTTCGTCCAGGTGCAATTCTTAGGCA